TAATATGTATTAATTAATTTTAATCTTCCTTATTCAAAATTCCAAATTTTAATATTCTCATTATCACATGAAATCATGATTTATCCTGTTTTATCAAAAACTATTGCTTAACAATAACCAATCTATTAATTAGAATCATCAATTAATTTAATTTCAACTTGTTTATCTATCATTAATAATTATTCTTATTATTTCTATTAAATATTATTTTCTTAATTTCCTTCTATCAATGTTTCCTTATCTTTTATTAAATTAACATTTTGTAAACTTATTAATACTTCTTCACATATCTAAGTTTCTTGAAAAGGATTTAAACTAATTCAATTTTTTAGAGATCTTTTAATTCTACGATTAATTAATTTAATTAATTTGATCAAATATAGATTTGTAATTGGATTAATCAAGTTTAGTTTAATTAATTAGTATTTCTAATTCATCAAAAAAACTATATGAAATATTTGATTGTCCCCATAAATAAATTTGTTTAATCCATTCAGATGTATTTCCAATCAAATAATCCAATTATTGAGCGATATTAGATTTTAATTAATGAAGAGCTTTTTAGAGTTCTTCAAGTTATTTGATGTTAATAATTAAAACATTCTCAATAGATTCTTTCTTTTACCTCTGGTTTTCTTCTATATTTTTTAATGCCTTCTTAAAGCTCATTAGTTGGGATTTTTATTCTAAATTTTCCATACATAGAGGGCACAAAAGTCTTTAATTCTTTTTAAGTTCTTTATCGCAAGCAATCATTAAGACTGGAAGTTTATGTTTCAAAGAACAAAAAAGATCTTCTTCTTTTTCAATCATTTTTAATTATATCGTGTATAATTAATTAATTAAAAAATTAAATATCACATTCTTGAATTCATGTTATTAATATTAAAATAAAGATCCGAAATTTTGAATGGAATTAATGTTCAATGCAAATTAAAGTGTTAGAACTTAATTAACAATATTAAAATTCAAAATTAAAAAAAAAAACTTAAGAAATTTTTTTCTGAATGAGAAAAGAAAAAAAAGAAAATAATGTAACAAAATTTTATACTGTAAAAAATCTACTCCTATTAGTATTCTTCTAATTTTCATGAAATTATTTATTTCTCAAATGAAAGTATCAATATTACGTCATTTTTGCTCATTATTTAAAACAAATAGATTCTTATTGAATAATTTTTATTTGATTATTTTACATAGTTAAGAGCACAATTGTTAAATACTATGGGAAAAGTTTAAGAAATCATAGATAAAATGATAGATTAGTCAAGTATATAATAAATATTAACAATATATTTAGGTTAATGTTTGCCTCATCAACACCCAGAGTCACAACTTAAAGAACTATAACATTTATCCAATATTTTTATAATGCATATTTATTCATTGCAATCGATCTACTTGGAGTTATGTTGCAGGTAATATGGTGAAATAAGGATATTTTTCATCTAATTAACTAGGCTATATTAATTTTGCTTGTGTTATTTTTTTATGGATTAAACATATTTTTGTATAATAATAGCTTATTTTTAGTTTTGGACATAATGAATCTAAGACTATTTATTCAGGCAGTAGCTTCTACAACGAGTTGGTTCAATGACTCAGTTAAAAGAAAAAAGAATTGTTTGTACCTACTATCATAAATAGTATTTCTTAATCAAAAAGCATGTCTTGAATTCTTAGTTGTGATAAATTTAAATTTAACTATACTTAAAAATTTGTTTTAACATATAAAAAATAGTACTTTTGGGTTTCTTTGCTGCAGGTCATTTTGTTGGAGATATATTTATTCAGGTTCTTTAATTGGGAGATCATTTACCTTATTAAGCTCTAGTATATTAAGTAGCTTTCTCTCTATTTACTATCAGTCTTTCAAATGCCTTATTTTTATTAAATGCTCTCTCTGTATATATTAAAAACTAATAATTGAGAATATGAAAAAAATAAGGCAATTAATGTGCATACTGTAAGGTTAACAATAAAATTATTTGAAAAACAAATCGAATTCAGTATAAATACAAAATTAGAAGAAAACAAAAATGAACTTTTCAAACCTTATTTAAAAATCTATTAAATATAAGAATAATTAAATTATTCTACTGCCTGGTTTGTACCAAATTTGCATTTTATGCATTATCATTAGGATGTGTCAATATTGTATATTATATTCTTACATTCTGGCTAATTACTTGTTTAGATTCAAAATTTTTTTCTTGAGTTACTGTTTGAATTGAGGTTGGATTTATTACTGGATGAATTCTAGCATTGCTAGATTTAATATTTATTGGGTTTAATTTGATATTGTTTTAATAAAAGAGCTGTAATTGTAGTTCCATCTTTAGTTTTTCTTACAAGATTACTTATAGAATTATGTTACTACATATATTGACAGCATAAGCAGTAGAATTAAGCAAGTAACCTGACTTAAAATTAATATATACATTATTATATATAATTTAGAAAATAAATAAGCTATCATTACTGTAGTTTCTGTAATTAATTTAATTAATTGTTCCATATGTATAGAATACATTATTCCTATCTTATGGCAGTGTTTCTCAATAATTAAAGGAATTATTTTAATTTACTTAATAATGAGAGAAATTTAAAGAATGAAAATAATTTTTTGAATAATTCATTGTAATGATTTAATATTAAATAAATTTCCATATTTTACTGTCAATAATTCTTCAAATTTATAAAAATTTT